GCCCTTGGGGTTCTTATTTGCAAGATGCCCTTCAGCAATAACTCTCAGGAAACCTTGAAAAGATAAAGGCTTTTTACTCACAGGCCTTAGGCCACACAGCAAGGTTGCAGACAGAGAGAAAAAGAGGGCACAGGCCCGGGGTTCTGCTTTTACTGGGGCAGAGAGTGGAAGCCTAGGGCTTCAAGGGCTCACTCTTTATTGGCAAATTTAAAATATAAGAGTGGGAATACAAAGTGTGAGATGAGAGAAAAAGAAAGAAAGAACCAAGTGGTCCAAATGGCCAGTTATCTAAATCAACCAGCTTCTCTGAAACAAAAAAGCCTCAGTGAAGCAGAGGGGGCCTGGCTCTTTACCTGGCCCTGGGGCTGACACTGTGTTTACTGGGGATGGCCATCTGTGAGGTGGACACCTCTTTGAAATGGATGCCTCCACAATCAAAGCTTAAGCCAGGCACTTGCATTACAAAGAAAGAAAGAAAGAAAGAAAGAAATGTTAGGAAGCCCACTACACCATGGAAAGGGAGACAGTGTTTTCAAATCACATATCTGCTAGGGATGGAATATTCAGAATATAGAAAGAACTCTTACCGCTTGTGATGGGTAGTCTTCCATGTCAATTTGGCTAGGTTACAGTACCCAGTTATTTAATCAAGCACATCTAAAATCAGCTGACTTTGGAAAATGTTAGCTTTGAAAATGTGAGTGGGTCTCAGATACTCAGTTGAACCCATAAGAGGAAAAATTGAGATTTCCTGGTGAAGAAGAAATTATGCCTCAGATTGCAGTTTAAAATCCTGCATTAGGGGTTGGCTCGGTGGTGCAGTAGTTAAGTGTGCACAATCTGCTTCTCGGTGGCCTGGCGTTTGCCTGTTCCGATCCCGGGCGTGGACATGGCACTGCTTGGCATGCCATGCTGTGGTAGGAGTCCCACATATAAAGTAGAGGAAGATGGGCACGGATGTTAGCCTAGGGCCAGTCTTCCTCATATAAAAGAGGAGAATTGGCAGTAGTTAGCCCACAGCTAATCTTCCTCAAGAAAAAATCCTGCCTTAGACATCCTGGTCTGCTTGCCTTCCCTATAATTCAAACTTGCCAGCCTCCATAATCAAGAATAATTCCATGAATAAATCTCTAGAAAGAAATGTGTGTATATGTGTCTCTCTGTGTGTGTATATACACATACATATAGTCATGCACTGCATAATGATGTTTCCATCAATTATGGTCTGCTTACACAATGATGATCCCATAAGATTAGTACCTTGCAGCCCAGGTGTATAGTAGGCTATGCCATCTATGTTTGTGTGAGCACAGACTATGATGTTCACACAACATCAAAATTGCCTAATGAGGCATTTCCCAGAACATGTCCCCATCATTAGGTGAGACACGACTGTATGTATGTTTACTCAAATGTGTATGTTCACGTTATAAATAAATATGTATCTTTTCCCTGGAGGACTCTAATACAGATTTTGGTTCCAAGGAAGGTTCTAGAGGAATAGAATCTTGAAGATGTGTTTTCTGAAATGGTTCTCGGGTTTCTGGAATTGGTCCTCTAATCTGATTATATTGAAAGGCACCAGAGACCCTATTTCCAGTGTTAAAGAGGATGCTGACAATTGATGGCAGGCTGTGGCAACAGAGATACACAAAATACCAGCACCAGAGATTCCTAACCAAATGTTTATAAAAGGGAAAGTTCTCAGTGATCATGTATTTGATACGTTAATCATTCTTGACAAATTAACAACTGTAATGAAATCAGCTAGCTGTTCCTAATTGCACTTGATTAAATGAGAAAAGAAAATGATGAGCACAGGGTGTCAAATTCCCAGGTCAGCTCAACCACCATAACTGACCTGAAGTGTCTGTACCTTCCCTGAAACAAACCCTTGTTTCTTGTAGCTTCAGAGCTGAGATTTCTGAAAACCTAACCCGGAGTCTCTTCCTGCAAGCGGCTGAATTACAACACAGGTTGAATCCCCATCTGCACAGTGGTGAAAGTGATGGCATTGATTTAGTAGTAATTGGGTCCTGAAAACTGGAAAGGGAACATAAGTCAGCTCCCGATTCACCTGGAACATTTAACTCACTCCCACATGGCACAGAGTTGGCCTTGTCAGTGGAAGCAGCCCTCCTCCTCCTGTCTGAGGACGTGAACTCTGCTTTTCCTGGGGATCCTGTCATCATGTCCCCTGAGGTCATTGCCTGGCAAGACACTGCTGAGCCTCCTCAGGACCTACACCCACCAGCCTTGGTGCTTCTAGAGTAAGACTCAGTCGAGGTGAACTTGACTCCTGGCAGGTCCCAAAGCATGAGCTACAAAAGGGGACCCATGAGGAATTGTGCTACACTCCAAAATTACCACATCCTTTTCCTAGTACACACAGACAGAAACCTGGGACAACCGTGAAGAAGTGGGCTATTAGAGGGTTGGGATATGGTGGAAACGTCACACAGTTGATTCGGTGGAATGAATTGATTTGGCCCCACTCAGCAGAGGTTCTCTATTCAATGTTGTGTCTTGAGGGGGTACAAGGAGTTCCAACAGTCTGATGAGTTGACTGGCTCTAATGTGGACCAAAATGTGGAGAACACAAGATAACATGGAACGTCCTTGGTGTGCTGAAGAAAAAAGGATCAAAATAATCATTCAAAAGCAGCTCAGAAAGCTGAACAACTCAATGAAATGAGGGGAAAAAGACAAGAACAAAACAAAAAGTTCAAAGACAGGAAACATAAAAACATTTTAAAAACCCCCAAATTTTGGAGATGAAAGTGTAAAAAACAGAAGATTGAAATGTGACCCTCACTGCAAATATGGGTCTCTTCTGGGTGACTATCTGCACTTTTGGCCAGTGGAAGCTCAAAGATGCACTAAATTGTCCCTCGTCTGCCACAGCTGTATCCACAAGACTTACTAACTGTTGCTACCTGCCGGGTCGGCTCTCAGGAGCATCCCAGTGCTGGAGGAGACACTCTTGGGACACCCGTGCCTTCATCCCGGCCCTGGACTAGCCCTGAGACCTGCCACGACTCTTTCTCCCTGGAGGGACAGCACAGCCTTCCCCACCTTCCTCTAGCAAGTCTCTTTCCTGGCTGGCTGTGTCGCATCAGGAAGGCCCTGGACCGTCGGGAACCAGGATTGATCCTCAGCTTCTGGCTGTCCTCACAAGCCCTCCCTGGCAGAGTCCAGCTGGCTGTGTGTCCAGGTGACACTTGCAGCCGTCAGGAAGAAGGGGATAACTCAGAAGTGTCAAGCGATTCATCTGGCCCTTGTCTTTCAGGGTGTTTCCAGGGGATGAGGTTCAAATGGCTGGGTGGTAACCCTTTAGCTCCTGGTTCTGGAGCGGTTCTCAGGTTGAGCTCAGAGCGTGTCTGTGTGCCACCCAGATGGGAAATGTTTTAGCATTTCACTTGGTAAAGCTGTGTCCACGCACGTCCATGGATCATCAGTTTGGCGGCATTCCCTGCAGGACCTCCAGCTCACACCCTTCTTAGGCCTCCTCTTTCACAGCTCCCAACAGGAAAGTCGCACACTCCCATGACAGAACCACAGCACAAGACTGTGGAAAAGAACACAGCCAGCCAAGGGGCTACCAGCTACCACTTTAGGAAACGTCAGTAAAAATACACCAGAGTGTGTAAACTGGTGACTGTCTGAGACTATGAATCTCAGAACCACCCAGACCCAGATGTCACCCTGGGCAGCAAGGGAGACTGTGGGGTCATACACTGGTCAGCCTATGGTCTGTTAAGCTGGCAAACCAGAGCTCACCTGGGATCCATCAGGCCCAGCCAGGGAGGAGTGGCCATGAGGGACCTGACAAAAAGGCTAGGGGCGTCTAGAGAATGTCTGCCTTGAGAAAGAATTGTATGAAGAAGTACAGTGATCCTAGCTCACAGGGAGCACCAGGGTTATGGAGGGAGACCCGGCTGTGGCCTTAAAAGCTGCATCACAAATCTGTCACAGGCCAGAATCCCAGCAGGATTAAGTCGAGGTCAAGGGTGAACAGGGAGCCCCTAGAGGGGCTGGAGGAGGCAGAGGCCCGCCCACCCTTCGTCCATCTGCGCAGGACCTTCCTCTGGCCTCGTCCTCTCCACGTGCACATTTTGAGCTTTTTACATTATTTTCCCCCTTTAGAGCTGATGCAAATTCAGAGACCAAATCAGAAAACAGCAAGTTCCTAATCTTTGCAAAAGAGAAACCGGGACAATGTTCCCTCCTCCTCCAAGTGCAGAAAGGCCATCACCGTCCTGGGCAGGACATGTGCCAGGGCCAGGCAGGTGCTAGTTTTGAAGATGCCTCCATCTCAGTGGTTGCTGCTTTGCCTGAGAAAGTCCCTCCAACCTTTCAGTCCCCGGAGATCTGCGGGGCCGTCTCTGCTCCTGGACCAGGGGCACCTCACTGCAATGAAACTGTCCTCTGAGGAAGGGGGCCTGGGGGTGTCCTTCAGTAGGCAGGGAGGAAACTGGCCCTTCTCCCTTTTCCACATACACTGAGCTGATGACTCTGCGAGGTTCCTAAATCAATGAGGAATATGAGATTCTGGATCTCGTTTCCAGGAGCGCAGAGAGTCAAAGAACCACACCAGCACTCCCAGGCTGAGAAGGAAACAGGCATTTAATATAACATTCAAACGCATTTACCACTGACGACAGAAATACGGCCCCTCCAAAGAGGTAAATAGGCACTAGGGAAAAGGTGTGAGGGAGATAGGGGGGTCATGGCCTCCCTTGTCGCCTTCAGGGGACCCCTGGGAAAAGGATCACAAAGTTCTCCCCATCAGAATGGAAGGAGGTGGCCCTGTGCACCCTGAGTGTCCCAGCTGTGTCCCCTGCTGAGGAAAAGGCTGTAGTTCAGCTGGTCTCAGGAGGGTCATCTGCCACTGCCACTGGGCTCTTTGTTGGGGGCCTGATGTCTGGATAAAGAGCAGCATTACCTGGCGGCCTGCCCCAGAATCACAGCCCGCCCTCCCCTCCCCGCCCCCACTGCACTCTGTGCTCCAGCCCTGTGCTGAGTGTTCAGTCAGGCAGGGACAGCCACCAGCTTTGGCTTTTTGTCTCCCCTGGAGTCAATTCGCATCACACGCCTAATGAGTGCTAAGACTGTTGAGGCCACCTGGGCAGATGGGGGATCTACCCAAGGACCTGGCAGCACTTCAGTGAGCTCCCCTCCCCCACCAAAGGGCCAGACTCTGCCCAGCTTCTTCTGTTCCGCCTCCACCCTGTGCAGCAGGTGCTCTTAGTTTCCATCTCTACTGTCCCCGTGGGGACAGCGAGTGCTTGGGGGTAAAGAAAGCTGCCCAGGTCACAGTGTTGGTGAGGGAGGGAGCATGTATTTGAACCCAGATCATCGGATTCCAGATCAGGGAATGGCAGGTGTGGGGCAGCTCAGGCACATGGCAGCAGGGCCCACCCCCACTGCCAGCCCCGCTGCTCACCGCAGCCATCCTCGTCAGCTGTTCTGCCACCAGCTGGGGAGGGAAGTCCAAGAGGTTTGGCATCTCCTTCCTCAGCTGGTTCTTGGTGGTCACAGCCCAGGGCCAGGCGGGTTCTGGGGCTGGATCCAGCATGATCGTTATTTGTGCAGATGGAACTGGAAATGTCACTAGAGCCCAGAGTCCAGTTGGCTCCAGCAAAGGAGCTGGCTCTGGGGCTGAAGTTAATGGTGGACCTAACTCCAGTCCTGGAAGGGCCGACGCAGGTGATGCTGGCTCCAGCTCTCCCACAGGTGGTGGGACTTGAGCTGGACCTGTCTCTAGCCCAGGAGCTGGCCCTTGCTCTGGCTCTGGAAGTGGCAGGAGCTCTGGATCTGGCTCTGGAGCAGGATAAAGAGAAAGTTTCACCCACATGCCTGACATTTCCTGTGCCTTTCCAAAGACAGGAAAGACTCCACTGCCTTTAAGAGAACTCCAGCCCATGAACCCCTGCACAGACTGTCTTCCCAGTCTGTAGTCCCCTCACATACCCACTCTGCCTCAATGGACTCGAGATGCTCCAGCTCAACTGGGAAAAGATAGGCATGGCCCTCCAGGTCTGAGCCACTGTATGCAGAAGAGAAACAGCTGAGGACTGGACCACGGGGCTTGGGGAATTGAAAAAAAGTGCAAGCTGTCTGTGGCAAGGCAAACACAATCTTTATGCGCTCTGGCAGACAGATGGTGAGAGCGCAGCAGCTCCCCTTGTGGCCACTTTTAAATGACTACTAGACAAAAGTGGCATACAGCCAGCAGACAATGTTTACATTATGCAGGTTACATAAGGTGTCTGCATACATGGTTGGCACATGCACTGCCTGCAGGGGACATGCTGAGTCACAGATGCCCGGAAGCTGCTCCGGTCTGATTGTCCACACTATCTCCATTTCCCTTCCCTCCACCCCCATCAGACCTCAGCAGTGGGGGGAGTTTGCAGGAGGCAGGGGCACACAGCCCAATGCCTTGGACCTACATTCCACAACAGCAATACAGAGAACAGCAAATGACCATCAGGAGACAGGATATACCTCCTACTGTGGTCAGAGCCCACCGCCACGAGGAGGACAACTTAGATCACTGTTCCTGCAGGGGGTCTCCTGTCAACGTCTGGATCCACGAGATCTTGTGCCTAGCCTGTCGCAAGGCTTGCGATATGTTCCTTGCACTATCTTGTATAAACGTGCAACATTGCACCTCAGTAACTGCACAGGTCCCCCTTTGTGCTGCAGTAAGGATGTCTAGAGCCATGCGGTTCTGCAGCACGACCTTCCGGGTCTGGTCTACTCCATCAGTTAAGAGAGACAGGGCCCAGGCTGTATGACTGAGGGCTCGGGCGTTATGCTCTGTCAAGGCAGTAACCTGCCACTCCATAGCAATAGCCCCCGCGGACAGACTAAGAACAGCCAGGAGGTAAATCCACCAGGGCATTCATTTCTCCCAGTGACAGCGCCCTTTTACCCTCTTCCAATTGCTGGGTCGCACATCCAAAGTTCTCCGAACAGCAGCTGCAAGGTAGGGCCACCCCCAAGGGCATCACCCTGTCCAGTTGGCCAGGAGATAAGGCCATTCATAACTACCACAGACCCAGAGACTGCCCGTGGGCACTCTGTCCATGGGGACTGTCCCTACATAGGGATGGGCATTCCACCAATACTTGGGCTGGGTCACTCCCTGGATCTTCTGACACAGCTCCTTGGGTACCTATCCCGCTATCACATCCCCCTTCTGTTGCTCTATGCACGGGGGCACAGACACGCAGAGCACAACAGCCTCCCCGCATAACCACCCATAGTCATCCCAGAGGCTCGGGGTCACCCAGGGCCATTTTCCTCCATGTTGTCAGCACAGCTACTGGTCCACCTGGTGCCTTCTTTGGTCCCACTGAGCATCAGCAAGTCCTCAGGAACACAGCCAGGTCCGGTTCCCTTCTGAAGCAGGGTGGATGTGTCACAGGGAGCCTTCTGCAGTGCTGGTGGGCAGTTCTGTGCACACCCAGCAGATAGATATGTTGGTCACCTCAGCTAGGTGTGTGCCCATTCCACAACACTGTTCACCACTCTCCGTCTATGGACACAAGGACAAAGCAGTGATAGGAACTAGGAGAAGCCAATCACGTCCTTTGGGCAGAACACAGGCTAGCCACTTATCCTGAGACAACAGGGTGGCTGCCAACAGGGGCTGTCCCAGCCGTTGATACCCCACCTTTTCTGCCTGCAGAGGCACTGCAAGAGCTGGCTCCACATGCAGCAGGACAGGGGAACTCATTATTGGCCACATGGAAATCACATATGCTCCCTTCAGGACAGAACTGGCATCGGTCTGTGGCAGCCTGACAGTTACCTGAGGGGTCCAAGTCCTAGTCACCCACAAGGTGACATGTTTTGTTGTTCCCCAAGTCCCCAGGGTGCTCAAGGCGCCAGCCGCTTGCCGTGAGGGGCTTTTATCTTCAAGGCCATTCCCATTCTCGTTCTTCCCCCATGTTGAGACATGTTGGGACCGGCAAAAGAATGTTTCCATTTCGGCCGTAGCCAGGCTTTGGTAACTCATCCCTGGTCACTGCTTGCAGCTGTGTGGGGGCTGTGACACAGCAATGCCTCTATGGGAGTTGGCCCTCCCTTTTGAGGCTGTTCATTGAACACCATCAGCACCTGCCGCAACCGAGTTGCCCAGCCTCCCAGGGAGGAAGGCTGCGTGGCTGTGTGTGAGCCCTGCTTTAAAAGCCCCTTGTACCTTCCCATCCTCCCGGCAGCAGCCGGGTTAAAAGGAGAATGGAAAAGCCATTGAACATCCATGGTGCTGGCCCACCGTTGGACTTCTTGTCCTGTAAAATGTGTCCCCTTGTCTCTCTCCTCGACCAAGGGTCGACCATAAAAGGCACAGAGTACCTGCAGGGCCTGAAGTGTCTGCCTCTGATCTGTGGCTGCACAGGGCCATGCAAAGAGGGAACCGGTGGCCTTATCGACAGCCGTAGAGGCGTACACAGTGCGTTTGGTCTTTGGTAATGGTCCAATGTAGTCCACCTGCCATCAGACCAAGGGCACACGCCCTCCAGCTACTTGCTGCTGTGTGGACACTGGTTTCCTTCTATTAGGAAAGGCCTGGGCACATACAGCACATTCTTTACATGTTGTCATTATTTGTTGCCACGTGAGGGGTACCCCCCAGTGCTTACTCACTGTTCCCACGGTCTTGCTCCCTGCATGATTTAGGCGTCAATGTAGCCAGTGTGCCACATCTGCAGATGGGGCCCTTTCCAGCCACCACACACGGGCCAGATCATCAGCCTCATCATTCCCAGGAGCAGTCAGAGGCATATGGCCAGGAACATGATACACTGTCACCTCTTTTCCATGGGCCAAGGCCCACAGTTCCTGCCACATGGCCTGCCCACACATGGGGCGGTTTCTGGACAACCATTGCTGAGCCTGCCACACAGATAACCACAGGGTCAATCCTCGGTACACTGCCCAGCTCTCTGTACGAACAGCTAAGGGCCCTGGTTCATGGGTGACAACCATCCAGACAGCCCATAATTCTGCCCACTGGCTGCTTTGGCCGGTGCCAGTATCAAACCAAATGGTATCAGTGCTTGGCTGCATAGCTATGGCTGTCCACATAGCAGCCGGTCCTCTACTAGAACCGTCAGTGTACCAAGCATCCTCCAGGACGGGAGCTTCCCCTCAGCACAGGGCATGGGCTCTATGCCTACAGGAGCCATAGGAGTCTGTTCCCCCACAGCAAGGAACTCAACCGACCCTAACACCCGCTGTAGCTCCATACTCAGGGGGCTGGAGCTCACTGAGCTCCTTTGTTCTAGATAAGCCCCCCACTGTGACAAGGTAGGGGTCTGGGCCATGCCAGACTGTGGACGGGTAGCCCATGACCGGAGCCATCCTTGAATAGGGGACATGGTTCTAAGCTGAACAGGGGCCGTTCGTGTGATAGCCTCACACACTATCAGGGTGGCATAGGCGGCTGCCAACTGTTTCCCCACTAGAGAACATTGTATTTCTGCTCCTTTCCATAGTTGGAACCAGAACCCGACAGGGGCTCGTACCCAGTGGTGCCACTGCCACAGGCCCCAGCCAAAACCTCCTGGTAACATGGACATCCAATTCATATGGCTGTCCTGGGTCAGCCACCTGTAAAGCTTGTGCTTGCTGCACAGCACTCTTGGCAGCCTTAAACGCTTGGTCTGCAGCATCTGTCCAGTCCCACAGGGCTCCCTTCTTTACCACAGCATATAGGGGCCTCACCACCTGGGCTAAATGAAGGATAAACACTTGCCAGTGCCCCAACAGACCCAGAAATGTTTGCAATTGAGCTACAGTTGTGGCAGGGGGTACGCCTGTATTTTGTCAATGACTGCTTCAGGTATCACCCTAGTCTTACCTGACCAGACAGCCCCCAAGAATTTGACAGATAAGCCAGGTCCCCGGACTTTGGCATCATTGGCTGCCCAGCCACGTTGCCAGATGCTTCCACAGGGAATCAGGAGCCTGCTGTAGATCTGCAAGAGTCGGAGGTTAACATATCATCAATATAGTGAAATACAAGCACTGTATCACTGTGAGTCCAAGCAGCTAAATCCTGAGCCATGAGCCATGACAAATAGTGCGGCTAGGCAGGTACCCTTGTGGCCACGCACAAAATGTCCACTGTCTGCCGTCCCAGGTGAAGGCAAGCTCATCTTGACTCTCAGCGGGAATATCGTTGGAAAAGCAGGGTCCACAGCATAGTGGTACTGTCCCAAATGGACTGTCAGTCGATCCATTATGTCATGCACTGAGGGCTCAGCAGCATGCAATGGAGGAGTCGCTGTATTTAATTCCCAGTAATCCACAGTCATACGCCATGTGCTGTCAGCCTTCCTCACTTGCCAAACTAGGGAATTATAAGGGCTTTGGGTGGATTGCACGATGTTAGCCTCTTCTACTTTTACAATGGTCTGTGTGATCTCCTCATGTCCACCTGTGAGGCAATACTGTCGGGTGGTCACTACATGTCGTGGCACCAGCAACACTTGCAGCGGGTGGTGTGTATGCCCCTGGATGACGGACTTAACCACATGCACCCGTAGGCAGAACTCGCCCATGGTCATCTGCAGGCGCAGTCCTGGCAAGACGTCTACCCCCAGAACATACTCGGGGATAGGAGACACATACACTGTGTACACTCGGGGCAGCAAACAGCCAATGCCAAGGGACAGAGACACTGGCTTCAATTTCACAGTATGGCCTCCAAGCCATCAACATATGCCGGCTTCCCTGGAAATTTATCCGGGTTGCCATAAATCAGACTACACTCGGCTCCAGTATCTACCAATACCAGTGCACGCTGCACATTGGTGGGGGACCGGTAAATCGCAAGTTCCACACGTGGCCTCCAGTCCTCCGGGGATCCCCCAATCCAGGCACTCCGGCCTTTCCCCTAGTCAAAGAGGTACATGGGCTCCTCACCTCAGGGCTGCGTAAAGTCCTGGAGGCTTACTTGCCTGTTCTTGCTGGGATTCTTTCGCCTTTCCACAGTCTTTTAGAACTGTTGCTCAGGCTTCAACTGGTGCCACAGCACCACCAAGACAGCATTCGGCTGCCAGTTATTTTCATCTGATCAATGCCTGAGGCTAGCAGGTCTACCCACTTTTACATGCAGGTAACTTGTTTAGGCCCTTTCTCTGCCAAGCCTGCTCTCAGCTTTGGCACCACTCACCGTGCGACACGCTTGGTTTTCTCCTTCTGTCAGCCTGCTACATCCCCCAAAGTGGCCATTGCAGTGGTTACCTCATGGCCACCAAGGACCCAAAAGCATTAGACGGGGCTGAGTTAAGGACCAAGTCCTTCATCCTGGACGTAAAGCACTCATCATTGGGCCCCCGGGTATGAAGGCTAAAAGTGGCTTGCCACATTTCCAACTCACGGATGACTTGCACCAGTTCCGCATAGGTCTGCCATTGGCTCACAGTCTCCAGGAGCTCCCCGGCGTTATCCCACACAGTCCGGGCGGCAGCTGTCACCCACTCCATCATGGAGTGATTTCCCTGCCCTTGGCCTAGCTGGCAGCTATTCTGGAACCACTGCCAAAGGGAGGGGGGCAACATGATGGAGGCCAGCTTCTCCATCTCATCAGAAGTACAGATTATACTATCCGCCCCCTCATCCCATAGCCACAGGAGCCAGGCCAGTATGGGCTCACCCGGCTGTTGCCTGCACTGCTTACACAGGTCCCACAGTTCCATTGGCGTATAAGGGGACTATGCCATGAACTCTGTCACGATCGAGGCTCCTTGGGTGACACCTCCTAGACCCAAGGGCTGCTCATGCTTTACCTTTTGCTGGATTACTGGCCAAGCATGGAGAGGGCACGTTTCCTCCACGTCCCCATCCTCGGCAGTCCCCAACCTCAGTGTCCTCCGCTGTCTCACTGCGAGGCACCATTTCCAGCTCCAGTTCCAACTGCCACACCCGCACCTCCAAGGCATGCTCCTTGGCTTGGAGTTCCTGTATGCAGGTTGCATACTGCAGGGCAGAATCCATGTTGCGGCATAACGCTGTCAAAAACAGCCAGCCGGCCCCATGGCAGGCTGGGCCTTCTCTGGGACCTGCTCCCCTAGGCTATGCAGAGCCGTCTCAGTGCTGACTAGGGTACCATCCACAGACTCCCATCCTTCTGCAGGAGCCCAATTCAACAGGACCTCCACCACCAGGAACCACATACTAGTGGGTGGCCACATGTCCGTCCCGTCAGCCTTAGGAGCCATAGGTCCACTCACCCCAGAATCTGTCTGACTAGGTCAATTGTAAGCAGGAGAAAAACAGCCAAGGTCTGGACTATGGGGCTTGGGGAATTGAAAAAGGTGCAAGGTGCTGGCACAGTGGCACAGTGGTTAAGTGTGCACGTTCCGCTTCCACGGCCCAGGGTTCACCAGTTCAGATCCTGGGTGCAGCCATGGTACCTCTTGGCAAGCCATGCTGTGGTAGGTGTCCCACATATAAAGTAGAGGAAGACGGGCACAGAAGTTAGCTCAGGGCCAGTCTTCCTCAGCAAAAAGAGGAGGATTGGCAGCAGATGTTAGCTCAGGGTTAATCTTCCTCAAAAAAAAAAAAAAAACAGAAAAGAAAAAAGCTGCGAGCAGCCAACGGCAAGGGAGACATACTCTTTATTTACTCTGGCCCACAGACGGTGGGAGCACAGCAGCTCCCCTTGTGGCCACTTTTAAATGACTACTAGACAAAAGCGGCATACAGCCAGCAGATGACATACAATGTTTACATTATGCAGGTTACGTAAGGTGTTTACATACATGGTTGGCGCGTGCACTGCCTGCAGGGGACATGCTGAGTCACATCTGCACCGAAGCTGCTCCAGTCTGATTGTCTACGGTACCTCCATTTCCCTTCAGCCACCAAAGCTGACATGAACAATGGCCAGCTTCACTGTCAAACAGGGAAAGTGCAGGCACTCCCAGAAATCCTGCCCTTGGTCCAGCCAGCTTCCCACCATAAAAGAGATAGCACTGAGGGGCAGCAGATGGGCCGCAGAGTCAGAGACCTGGCCTTTCTTTCCACACTGCCCTCCTGAAGCACCCTTGTTTGGATCTGGACCCCTGTGCCTGCCCCTTCTCCTCCAGAGGAGGGCCCCATCCCAGCCCTGAACCCTGTGTGGCTGTCCTGGCAGTGGCAGGCCTGCTCATCCACCAGGTTGAACACAGAGTCTGTGGGAGTCTCTTGTTCCCACTGACACTCTTCTCCCAAAGGGCCTGGATACAGCCCACCCCAGCCCTCCATGCACGAGGGCCACTGGACTGAAGACTCAGGCAGATTTGTGAGCAACTTTATCATGCACCTTCTGCTCTGGACCTGGTGGTGGTGGCCAAAAGGGGTGGATGTGGAGAAAGGGAGGCAGAGTGAGATGAGACTCTGGTGGGATGGGTCTCTAGGGAACAACTAAGCCCAGCTTCCCTTCTGGTTCCCAGGGGGCCTGAGACCCATCCACAGCTCTCTTTGACTCCTATCCTCCTGGAGTGGAAGCCACCAGAACTCAGCCCTCCCATAAGAATCAAAAGATGAGTGAGATGCAGGGTTCTGCTAGGCCTGCCAAAGCCACAGCCCCATACTCTCCCTCAAACATGTTCTCTAGAGACAGGAGGCCCTCCTTCTGGACCCAAAGACCACTCACTTTTTCAGGTGGTCTTGTGGTCCATCATCCCACTCACAATGTGGGAAGATGCCTCCATATGTCTAAGAAGATACAAGGGCATCACACGGTTTGTATAATGGACAGTACCTGTGAATGATTTCGAGTGTGACTGCCTGACTCTCAGAGTAGAATTGAGGACCAGGGATGGTGTCTGCTTCATTCATTGAGTTATGCTAAGTGTCTTCAAAAGTCCTGAGTGGAGTAGGCACTTAATTGCTGAATGAACTCCAACCAGAACCACCCCAGGTATCTGAGTGGGTCTGGGGCCCCTCTGTGGCCCCAGAGATCCCTAATTGGCTATACCAAGGACAAGCACTAAGACCAGCTGGATGGAATCTCAAACTCCTTGACAGGGTGCTCTACAGGTAGTTTTCCAAACTCAAAAAGCCACAAGCCAGTGAAGGGAGAGGAAGACTACTTTTCATGGAGGACAGAGAAATGCTCACCAAGAACAGCCACAGCATGGCCCATGGCCCTCTCTGCAGAGCCAGCCACCAGGGAAGCACCTGGATGGCTGAGCCCATTCATCCCTGGGAGAACCCTAGGAAGTTCATCCTCCCCAACTCCACTTTTCAGAGGAGCAAACTGAGGCTCAGAGAGATGTGGTGACGTTCCCGAGACACACAGCTGGCAATGGGCAGAGTCACCACTGTGCTGAGGAGGAGGCGGGCAGTCACCTGGTAAACAGTTGGTCCAGGACCTGGTGGGAAGTGTTGAAGGCTGAGTAGTTGCACACAAATGTGGTGACATTGCAGATGACTCTACCCGGGAAGGCTGGGACCATGGACTCTGTCAGCTTCTCCATCACACCTGCCTGGAGGGTGCCCATCCTGCAGACCTCATTTAGACACACAGTGGTCTCATCTTCACATTGTGTGGGACGAGGAGGGACATAGAGTCAGTGGCACCACCGTGAACCACCGGGAGGATGGAGGTCTGCATCTCACCCAGGAACACCCAGCCCCTCAGGGACGTGTGCTACAGGAGGGACAGGAGCTCCCACACTGAACAAGGTTGTGGGCTTTCAAAGTACAATCTGAGTTTGGGGGGGAAGGATTCTCCAGTGAGCTCCCTCAAGGCCATTTGTTCACTGAGGAACAACAGACCTCCCTGTATGATGATCACCAGCCCAGTGAATCCTCAACAGATACCTCCTCTATAGAGATGAGAACAGAGGCTTAGGCATGCCAAGGGGCTTCTCAAGGTCCTGTGGGTCAGAACTGAGAACCGCCCCAAATGAAGGCTGACAGAACTTCCCTCTAAACTGCCTGAGGCTTCATTTGCCCTTGACCTGGAGGGAAAAGTTCTGTGGGAGGCCCACCCCTCCCTAGTTTGGAGACAATGTAGAGGGCAGACATACCCTGTGAGAATCCTGTTGACTTCAAAAAGACACTGATGGTTCTTTCTCTTACATTAAAGGGAGTTTTGAGACCCTCATTATGGGGGTCCCAGGTTCAGAAAAAGGCAAAATTCAAAGATACTCACATCCTAGTGGGAAGTGAAAACAAGGCCAATGTTTCTGCTAATCTTCCTAGGAATGTGCAAAGAGGGACTTCCCACCCTCCTAAGCAGCTGGTGGGGAGGAGGGGAAATCCAGATTCCTTTGGGAATGGGAACATGGGACACTCAGGTGGGACAGCCCTGTTAGGTACCAGGGGAAATCTCAGTTTGACTCTGGATTCTGAGCCAGCCCTGGTCATCTCAGGGTCCTGGATAGGGAAACCCATCTGTGCCTACTCTCACCTCAGACCAGCCCTGGTCATTCTTGGTGGCATGGTGCACCTGCCCCCTCTCCGGGGAGAGGGAGTAGCCAAAGTCATCCACCAGCTCCTCGACCATCTCCCATGTGCAGCTCTGCAAAGACAGTGCCCGAGAGCCGGGCCAGGAGGTCTCAGGGGCCTGCCTTGACTTGGCCACGGGGGGAAACTCCCACAACAGATCAGGTACAGAGGGGCATCTGCGTAGACCTCCAGCCAGAGAGGGAATGAGATGACACCCGGAGAGCTCAGGATTAACATACGGGTAGAGGAGCTTGGTCCCCAGCACTCACCTTCCCATCCTGCCAGCCACAACCTGGGCTAGGAACATGACACTGCCAGGCTTCCAACGCCGAGCAACCTGCTCCTGCCCAGGGTGGGTCCCTGCTCAGCCCCACCGTCCCTCACTCTACTCCCCTGACACAAAATGAGGGTCAAGGTTTGTGGGGGTCTCCAGGTGGGATCCAGCTGTGGCCTGACCTGGAGTGGCCTGTCCTGTGTTACCTGAGGGCTCCTCCTGCCAAACAACCAGAGGTGTTGCAGGTGAGGGCTGAGCCAATGTCTACAGTGACTGAAAAGACTCTCATTAATTCTCAGCTTTCCAGAAGCCAGAGCCTCCACAAGTTGGGATACAAGACAAGAACATCCTGTTGTGTTGCGTGTCTCCACTCAAGTGAGCTCAATAGGAAGCTATGCCTAATGTGGGTGCCTGGAGACCAGAGTGCTAAGTTCTGTTGGGGCCTGTCACCAAGGAGGTGAACACTTCTCCAAGGCTCCATTACCTGGTCCCCTTTCATCAATCACACCCACCCAAAACCCCCTCTCGGCTCTTGACTCTCACCCTCCTTGCCCATGTCATCTCCATAGCAGTAGGCAAATATCCAGCGCAGCGCCCCACACAGGACCTTGAGAATGGAACCAGGATTCCAGCTGGAGGACACACAGCTGAGTCCAGATCTCTTTTTTCCAACCAGGTCTGTGTCCTGAAAACATCATTGTGCCTCTCAGGGCCTCCTCAATCTCTCAACCTGCACAATGGGGACGATGTTAGAAATAGCTTCCCAGGGACACTGTCAGGTGTCTAAGAGATAATACCGACAACACCTGCAGGCTGGTGTCACATGTGTCTGATGCACAAACTTAGAGATGAAAGAATGACAAGAAGGGGTGGGATGTAGCGTGGAATACCTCTCAAAGCAGACCTGGGTTCCAGCTCTGTGATCTTGGGAAAGTCACTGCCCCTCTTGGCCTTGTTTTTAGGTCTGCACCTTTAAAGGGCCGAAATTAGAGGAAAGTCAGATATTGTCATTCACTGGCATTAAAACTTCCATGGTCTCCTGTTTGACTTAGAATCAGACCAAAGTGCCTCATGTTGGCCTATGTGGCGGGCAGCCTCCACAATGGGCTCGCTGTCTTCTAGTGCACATCCTTGTGCAACCTCTAAGTGGTTAGTAACTGGCTTCTGAACAACAGAATACAGCCAAGGGGATGGGATGTCACATCCAAGGCTCAATGAAAAAAAGCCCATGCCTTCCCTCTTATTCATTTTCTTGAGTTCCCTCCCTCTCTCCCTCCTCCTGTTTCCATCTCTCTCTCCTATCTCTGGAACTGGGGGAGCAAGTGCCCATGTTTCAGTTGCCCTATGTAGAGGCTCCATAGGAGAGAACGGAGGCCGTGCCCAGCCAACAAACAGATAGGAACTCAGACTTTCAGTCCAAATGAATCCTGACGACATGTGTGTGAGTGAACGTGGGAGCAAATCCTCCCCGAGTCAAGCCTCAATAGAAATGCAGCCCCTGCTTCAGAGAGACCTTGAGGCAGAGCACCCAGCTAAGCCGTGCCTCATTCCTGGCCCACAGAATTTGTGAGATGTTAAGTATTTTTACTCTCTAGGTGCAAGGTCTTGGAGCAATGTCATCAGAGAGGAACAGAAACTATCAGTCTACTGAGTCCCATGATCCAGCCCTGCCTGCCCCCATCTCCCCTCCTCTCTCTTCTCAGGCTCCTTCCAGCCACTCTGCCACCTTCTGACCTTCTCTAGTCAAACTTACTTCTTCCTGAGTCCGCACCAGTGGTGCCTTCTCCCTGGCACACTAACTCTTCCCAGACATCGGCAGGCATGGCTTACACTTATCATTCTGCTCGCAGCAAATGGCATCTCTGTGAGGCCTTTCAGAAACTCCCAGGCACAGTCTCCACTGTCATGGATCTCACACCTGCAAGAGCATCACATTATTTCCTCCTTCTTGGTCTCATTTGGATAAAGTGAGTCCGTGAAGAAGGGCTTTCTGCTTTGGTGGAAGCAAATGCAGCTTCTTTCGGTTACCCCAGGCACATAACTGTCTCTTCTGGGCTGAATCTTTGCCATCACAAGTCCATTGTGAAAAGAAACTCTCATTCTCGCTCTTTCATGGGTCTGGTTTCCCCAAGAACACAGTGATCCATCCCCTCTCCTTGTAATGCAGCACCAGCCCCTATACCCACAGCCAGAAAATTACCACCCAGCCTGAAACACTACCAGATCGTGAATTCAGTTACTGCTGAGACCCTCCCATCAATTTTGTAATTCCATGGTAACTCCTGAGGTCACCTTTCCCCTGAGACCCAACTCCCAGCCTGCCCTTGGCTTCTTAGAGGAACAGTGGGATTCCCTAGAAGGCCTCCCAGCCTGGGCAAGAAAGGTTTTGAAATGTTCTCTATGAATTTTCAAGGACAGAGGATACTGCTAGAAGTCACTTGGGTGTGTATGTGCAACAGTTTCAATGCAAATAGTATCTTTCTCAGACACAGATCCAAGAGTGGGGCTACTTGGTGTAACAAGAAATGGATAAGCTGGTCCAGTGTCTTCGTGGTGTGAAGTCTTAGAGGGTAAACATCATGGTTAAGAGCAGAGAATATGGAGCCAACATCTTATGTTCAAATTCCAGCTCAATCACTTCCTAGATATTGGTAGTGGGCAAGTTACTCACCTCATCGGTGCCTCAGTTTCTTCATCTGTTGTTGGCAAGAATGACAAATGTACCTAATTTGTAAGAACACGGAGAGTATTAAAGGAGTTAATGTTTGGAAAATGCTTGGAACACCTCGCACATCACAAGCACTGTAACTATATATTGTAAATAAAATTTAAAAATTCTTCTGACATTGTCTGTAAGCTCCAGAGGGTGAGGCTAGTGCCGGAATGGATATAGAAAGCACTCCATGAGATAAGATGAATCGATGAATGGACAGCACTGTTGAATGCATTATCAGTGTCACATATGTCTTCCTATGGGCATTCCCAAGCAGAATCACACCCAACAATACCTGCTCTGTCCTGCGTTGTCTTCTTTGGTTCTATCCAGGAATCACTGGGGCTTCTGGAACACTGGTACCCACACCCGCTAAAGGTTCTCTTCTCTCTGTCACAAATGCCAGTCCTTGTCCTAACAGCTGCAGCCCACAGGGGCTGCACTCTGATCCTTTTCTTCACTTGAGGGAGAAGTGTCTTCCCCAGGACTGGGCCCACACTGTGTGAGCCTTGGAGGAAAGTTTCCCTGGCCAGTGGCAGGTGGAAGAGCGCTGTGAAGGAGTGGGATTTGGGGGAAACGCTCCAGGTGTTGGCAGAGGGGTGGACTCCGAGGATTTGTCGGAAAGCACTGGCCTGGTTGGTGGACCTTGGTGGTTAAATAGTGGTGGGGCCAGCAAGTTTCATAGGTCCTAGCATGAGACAATCAATATGATGGTCATGAAGTCAGAATAGGCCTAATGAGGTCCAAATTAATCCAATGTCATCTATTCCCCGACTGGCTCACTAATCCAAGAGTGATTCATGACAGTGATATTCATGTTCTATCATCTCCTTTTCATTGATGGGCTAGAGTAATTATTCTTTACATATCTTGTATATTTTTACATACTAAAGGAAAGGTGAGTTTTAAAACAACCCTCCTTGGAACAGTCTTCCTAATGTATTAAATTACTAACAGAATGCACCAATGGGAAACTCACAAAATATCTTGTCCTTGAGTCTCCAGTTTTAGATCTTCCTGATTTGTAAATTATCTTGACTTCTGACTTCTTTCCTGAGGTTAGTCCACTTAAGACTATGTAGGAGTGCAATCCTCTTGCCACTTGAGAAGTAGTGATGGAACTCTAGGACGATGTTTGTTTTGTTTTGTAAGTATATGTGTGTGTGTCTGTGTGTGTGTACGGCAGTGTTTTCTGCATCTTGCCATGTGGGTCGACAGACTCCTGTCCATGGGAAAAATTGTGCCTCACCACTTTCTCTGGGCTTTATTTTCATGGTTTGACCAGTACTGTCAAACAGTAGAATTTAGCAATCTATCTTATGGAATTTAAAATTTTCTTAGTAGCCACATTTAAAAATAAAAATAAACAGGTGAAACTAATTTTAATAGTATATTTTAACACATTATAACCAAGATATTATCATTAGTGCATGCAATCGATATAAAAATTAATAATGAAATAGTTTATGTTCTTTTTTTCTTTTACTGGGATCTACAAATTCATTTATAGCACAGTCTCCATTTGTACGTTGAATTTTTTCACATATGCAGCTTCTACATTGAGATACTATGGTGGTCACTGTTGTAACATGAGATTCACATATCTAAGGAGCTCCCAAAATATAAAAGTTTTCCATTGAATAGTCATGTCAGATGAATGATGAAAAGTCCCTAGTGGGTCTAGTAAGAAAGGAATCACTGTGGCCTCACAAGGGAAGCACACATAGAATGGTGAGGGCAGATGGAGCGTGAGGTTTTCTGAGGAGGTAGTTGGAGGTGAGGTCACAGACACATAACGTAGATGACCTTTTCTCAATGGCTCATGGCTAAGGGGAAGGAGTAGAGACAGTGATTTCTCTGTGAAATATCAGGCAAGTTAAGGGACCTTGAATATGTATGAAGGAAAAAGAAATGTGGGGAATATTTAAAACAAGCTTTGTGGAAAATCAAGGAGTAAATATGCCAACACATGAAAAGAAAGTAGAATTTCCAGGCATTAGGGATGCTTCTCAGTTGATGCAGCTGATTTTGGATCTATAATGGTACCAAAATAGCATGTTGCGTCATAAAATCCTAAGACCAGCAGCAGCTAAGGCATGGCAGATGATCATGATCTTCTGGGGTTTGTTTTACAAGGCAGATATGATGAGTGGTAAGAAATTTTGGATGATTCCAAGGGAATTACTGAGATCATAGGCTAAGAAATCCAGGAACGATAGGAATAAGAGAAGAGAAATTAAGCTGAGCACATGGTGATGTGGCATCACTTCTGATCTTGAGGAACCGGTATCTATTGTACGAGTGTTTGAGTAAAAATTGGTCATCAAGAATTTGTGGTGGGTTAATATGTTTCTGAATTATTTATTTTTGAACACGATCCTTTGGGTTGATGGAAATGTCTGGGACAGGGGAGTGAGTCACTCAGAGTTGGGCAGATGATAATGTCACTACTGATTCAAGCTCTAAAGCTCTAAATGAACACCAAGTGGCCAATAGGAGACAATATTTGCAAAACATATCCCTAGCAAAGCACACATATTTATAATATCTAAAGAGCTCTTACAACCCAATAGAAAGAAAACAAGTGGCACTTCCTTGCTCACCAGGAGACAGCAGATCAGGCATGTGATGAGCACCATGAGCCCCACCAAGCAGATGAGGATGATCGCCCAGAAGGGGAGGTCTGGGGAGACAAGTGCTGGGCTGAGCCACCACCTGTCATTCCCCCAGGGTTCCTGCTGTCCCCCCACTGTGCTCAACACACCTTGACATGGGTTGGCCAGTTTTCATCATCACCTAAGACCCTGTGTGCGTGGTTATCTTTGATGGGGCAGAGCATCGAGATATTCCCTCCCAAGCGCAGGCTGGGGCTTCCTTGAGGCTTACCAGAATTCTCAGTCAGGGCACCATTTCTGTTGGGGGAGTACCCTGGAAGTGAATAAAGTGGAAAATACACGTATGTTTTACTTTTTTAAATAAAGCTTTTCAAACACACAGAAAAGTAGAACAATATTGGAAACATCCATCCCCTAGATTTAACAATGTAAACTTCAGTTAAAACAATGTTTAATCCAATGTGTAAATTACTCACACTTGCCATCCCTGCTTTCTCCCATATTTTCACTGAAATATTTTTTTCTCCCCAAAGCCCTAGTACATACTTGTTTATCTTAGTTGTAGGTCATTCTAGCTCTTCTAGGGGGGAGGCTGCCACAGCATGGCTTGATGAGTGGTGTGTAGGTCTGTGCCCAGGATCTGAACCAGTGAACCCTGGGCTGCTATGCACAAACTTAACCACTTGGCCATGGGGATGGCGCCTCACTGAAATATTAAAGTTGAGTAGACATTCTGATGTTTCACCTCATTTCAGTTTGCATCTCTGAATAATTAGGATGCTTTGCTACATAATCCAAGGCCACTATCACACTACAATAGTGTAACAAATTAAATCAAATTTATACCTCTGGACACAGAGGACTGAAATTGGGCCGGACCATCTTATGATGGTGGGGAGAGCATGGGTCACCAGTTGGCAAGCCAATGAGCTCTCTCTAAATTTGTAAATTCCCAAACAATTTCTTCTCAGCCTGGAAACACACTTATCCCCCTCTCCTTTACCAAGTTGTTTTATATTCATATTACAGGATTCACCTACAATGGAATTTCCTTCAGGAAGCCTTTTCTGATTAACACTCCCAAGTATGGACTGGTTTGCATCAAATAATTTATAATTTTTAATTGCCTGTTCTTGTTACTGCCAACTACACCATCAACTCCAAGGGGTAGGGACACAGAGCACTCACTGTGTACCAAGGGAGGGTTGTAGGTCCCCCTACTTTTGCAACCTCTCTCCAGGCAACTGCATAGAGATGTGTTGTCCAATATGGAACAGCGAGTGCCTTTTTAAATTAAAATTAATTTTAATGAAATAATATTAAAGATCTGGTACCTCAGTAACATTAAAAATCAGTAACCATAAAAACCAGTCACAATTCCATCCTTCAAGTATTCTATAGCCACATGTGTGTATGCACTAGATAGCTCAGATATAGAACATTTCCATCATTACAGGAAGTTCTAGTGCATCGTGCTGATCTAGAGCATGACTTGGCAAACTACAGCCTGTGGGTCAAGTCAGACCCATTCCTATTTTTATACAGCCTGTGGATCAGAAAACAGGCCCATCCCACCACACCTGCCAACGTGGGTTCACACACAGCTGGAGGTCCTCACTGACCATCTGGCCAAGCACTTTCAATGCAGAGATAATGAAGCAGGTGTCCAGAGAGGGGAGGCGACTGGCCTGAGATCACAGAGCTCTCTGGGAGAAGGCAAGTGCCTGCTATATCCCACTGGGAGTCCTTTTCTCTCCCTCAATGATGGGCAAAGCCTGGGGGACTATGCCACCTCCTGCCAGCCTGAGAAAGTTGAATTCTGTCCCATCCCCAGGCCTCCAGATTCCCAGGAAAGACCCCAGATGTGGAAATTGGAAACCCCACTCCACCCCATTGACCAGGGAGCTTTACCATCCACAGGGACACTGTTCTTGTCCAGGGCAAAGCTATGCTGGGTACCATTCTGGGTCAGCTGCAGGAATTCCTCACAGATGGCAACTCTATGTAGCCTCTGTGCTGATGGTGAGAAATTACACGGGGAGGCCACCCTAGTGTGGTTATTGCAGGGGACAGACCTGGAAGGGCACAAGGGATGAACAAGGGTGTCTGGAAGTCTACCCTGGTTCTAGATGCCCTACTTCTGGAGCCTGTTCAAGAGAACTTTCTGCAAGAATGTAAACATTTGTTTCTGCACTATCCAATAAAGTCATTATTAGCCCAATGTGGTTTTTGAGCACTTAAAATGTGGCTAAAAGGGGCTGGCTCCGTGGCCGAGTGGTTAAGTTCGGGCGCTCCACCGCAGCGGCCCAGGGTTCAGATCCTGGGCGCGGACATGGCACCGCTTGTTAGGCCACGTTGAGGCGGCATCCCACATCCCACAACTAGAAGGACCTGAAACTAAGACATACAACTGTGTACAGGGGGTGGTTTGGGGAGATAAAGCAGAAAAAAAAAAAAAAGATTGGCAACAGTTGTTAGTCCAGGTGCCAATCTTTAGAAAAAAAAAAATGTGGCTAATGTGTGTGAATGAGGAGCTAAATTTCTCATGTCATTTAATTTAACATAATTAATTTATACATAATAGCCACAGGGAGAACATTTCTGAAATGCTGGAGTAAGGACTTCTGAAAATCCATACAAACAATGAGAACACTGGTAAAAACAGTCAAAATAAATTTTTTCAGGAGTCCCATCCTGCTCTCACAATACCCTCAGCAACTTTGAAAACCACCA